CCGTCTGTGAGATCGGGGTAAAACCCATGTTGCTTCCAACGATGTTGGCAATCGCAAGGTCCGCATTATGCTGAAGGCCAGCCGTTAGAGTTACCAGCATCTCAGGCATCGACGTACCGAAAGAAACTACCGTCAGGCCAATTACCAGGGGCGAAATGCCAAGACGAGACGCTACAAGCGAGGCACCTTTAACAAGAGAGTCCGCCGCCGCTATCAGAAACACCAGCCCAACGACTAGCAATAGGCCATCAGCCATTCAATAAAACTCCGAAGGTCGGTACGATGATCAGTAGATCATAAAGGAAAGGAAAAGTGTTGGCTTTCGCGACCCCTGAGTGGACGTTCCAACTGGTTTGAATCCATGTCAGCAATGGGCACAAAGCCGCCTCTCGGGAGCTTTATCTGAGCGGCTGCTTTGGGCCTGCAACAATCGTTCTGCCCACGTTGTGATTACACGATCGATGCCCAACAATCGATAGAAGTGCCTCGATAACCCCGCGCAGAAACGGATAACTTCTCACAACAAAGGCGGTCGACGCTGATGCCAGTCGGTTGCCGATTCATAAGCACTGCCAATACGACAAAGCGTAGCTTCTGACAGTGTTTTGCCAACGAGCTGCATGGCGTGGGGAATGCCGGATTTATCCTTGCCGCAGGGCAGCGTGAGTGTTGGCGTACCAGAGAAGTCGTCAGGGATAGTGAAATGCATCTGGACCTGACCAAACAGGGGTGCCAGGGCTTCCGCTCCACCGTACTGATCTGCAGGAATTGGCATTGTCACCCCACCGGCCGGACTCAGCATTGCATCAACCGAGGCCAGTACCAATTCATAGCGCTCACTGAAGTCGCGCCGTGCAGCCATGGCCTCGTTATACTGTGCATCAGTCACAGACGCACCAATGTCGAGAAATTCTCTGAAGTAGTTGCCGTACTCCTCGCGCCGGGAGGGATAGGTAGACGCATGAGCCTTGTGGGCTTCATAGGTGCAGATGGGGAACCACAGTTCGCCCATGGTCAGTATCTCTGGCGGAACCTCCACGTTCACAACACTGGCACCAAGAGATTCCAGCAGTGCCAGTGCCGCTTCAATGGATGCCAGAAGCTCAGGGTCGGTGCCCTGGCTGGCGAACCCGGAATCGTAACCGATCCGCAATCCCGCAACGCCGGCGCTGATCTGCGAAAGGTCTGGTAAAGGTGCCGGCAGAGAGGTTGGGTCGGCTTTATCCTGACCTGAGATGGCAGCCAGAACCAGACCCGCATCCTCGACGCCCCGGGTAAGCGGTCCCACGTGGTCGAGTGTTTCTCCAAGATCCAACACGCCGTGCCGGCTTACCCTGCCGTAGGTGGGTTTGAGACCCACCACACCATTAGCCAATGCAGGAAAGCGAATGGATCCGCCTGTGTCGGATCCCAGGGCGGCAAAACACAGACCCGCGGCGGTCGCAACACCGGAACCACTGGACGAAGCGCCTGCCCATAGAGTGCTGTCCCAGGGGTTTACCGGGATCTTGAAATCCGGATGGTAGCCCACCATCGCCCCCTCGGTCAGGTTGAGTTTGCCCAGCAGGATCGCACCTGCGGATTCAAGGCGCTGAACAACCGTTGCATCGTAATCCGGGACAAAATCCTTAAGCACCGCCAAGCCACCCCTTGTCGGCACCCCGCGTGTAAAACAGAGATCTTTTACCGCCACTGGAATGCCGTGCAACGCGCCGCGGTAGCGGCCTGACACAATCTCAGCCTCGGCTTTCGCCGCCGCCTCCAGAGCCTGCCCTGCCATCACTGTCTGATAACTGTTGAGCTGACTGTCCAGCGCCGAAATACGTTCCAACATATGCTTCGTCAACTCAACCGGCGAAAGCTCCCGGCGCTCCAGTAGTCCGGCGATGTCGGTAATGCGGGCATAGTGGAGGTCGCTATTATTCATGTGACTTTCTGCCTGGGAAATTCTCAATTTCTACTTCTTGAACGAACAATGCAAGCCTGCAGGCCAACGGAACGACAGCTGTTTTTCTTCTATCTGCGAGGTTCCGGCACATAGAAGCGAACCACGGCGCCACCAATAACAAGAAAGCCTATCGAGCATATAAAAACAGACAAATAACCGAAGTAAGCTGCCAATAACCCACCGAGTAAAGGACCGATGGTGCCGGCAATTTCAGACGCCGTATTGGCAATGGCAATCCGGACGGGTAGATCGTCACGACTTCCGAACTCCAGCGTCAGATTCTGCGATGAATTCTGAAAACCCTGCACTGCTGCACCGATACCAATGAAAACCAAAACCGTCAGGAAAACACCGGAAGAAAAAATCAGCAGCAGCGTTGCGATAACCCACATCGCAATAGACAGCAGGAAGACCAGACGGAACCCGGCCCTGTCTGCAATGCTGCCCCAGACAAGATTCGATACCGTGCCCGCCAGGGTAAAAGCGAAAGTCACCATGCCGAGCAGCTGACCTGTCAGACCCAGCGACTGCCCGGCGTACAGAATGTAGAACGGCATCGCCATTCTGCCCATGGTGGCCAGCGATCGCGCAAGAAAATAGCGGGTAAACGCAGGATCATCTCGCAACAGCTGGGGAAGGTCGTGCAACCTCGCGAGAAGATTCTGTTTGCGCTGCACCGTGGGTGGTTCGGGCTCACGAATAAAAAGCAACAGCGCCAATCCGACGCTGGTTAACACAAATGCCAACAGAAAAACCCATGAATAGCCGACCGCAGTTGGATCATCTCCGAGAAAGTAATGCCCGCCCAACCATGCAACGCCTGCCGAAGTCACGCCGGCGAGAAAATTCCGTAACCCTGTAAGACGGCCACGTTTGGAAACCGGAATGACCTTCGACATCAGAAAATTAAAAATCACACCCTGCATGCCCTGGAACAGGCCAAAAAACAGAAGGCAGGCGATGATGGCAACAAGCGCAGCTTCGCTTTGCAGGAAAAAGCCAGAGAGTGCAATCAGCAGCACACTGGCGCGCATGGCACCACCGGTGAGAAATCCAACCGGAAGCACGCGTTTACGGTGCTCTATAAGGTTTGCACCGATCAGCGGTGTCAGCGCCATACCCAGGGCGTTAACGGACAGCGCAATGCCCACCATCAATTCAGACCCCCCCGACAGTAACATGATGTAAGCAGGCAGAAAGGTGGGCGCCATGAGCAACCGGAAACCGGTTTGACCCAGCATGCCGTGGCCCAGGTGAATGATGAAATTTCTGGTTAAATCGCGCTGAATCTGTATCTGATAGCGCTGTTCCCCGTGCTTTTCAGCAATGCGATTTTTGGGAGTTTCACTCAAGTGTGTGTCATCAGTTCAGCCCTGTTCATGTTTCAATAGTCGCGCTTCAATGTTCGCGCCAGAAACGACAGGACTTTATCCCAGGCGTCTTCACTTTGCTGTTCGCGATAACGATCTGGTGTTGGAAAATTCTGAAAAGCATGGCCTGCCCCATCATAGCGATGAAAAACATAATCCACACCGGCTGCGTCCAGTGCAGCCGCATAGTCGTCTACATCTTCAGGCGTCGGATTCTGATCTTCGTTACCAAAGAAACCAGCAACCGGGCAATGGATACGATCAGCCAGACTGATCGCGGGCGGGTTACCCTCACCCATGGCAAGCTTAATGCGACCACCATAAAACATGACACACGCTGCAAGTTCCCGAATATGGCAGGCGCCCAACCACGCCACCCGGCCACCCCAGCAGTGCCCAACAATACCGATCCTGGCAACATCGCCGCGGCCTGCAAGTAAATTGAAAGCAGCGCTTACATCTTTCACGGTCCAGTCGTCTCGACTTGCCTTGGCCTTGACCATCATCTCTTCGTGTTTAGGCCACCAGTGAAATATAAACGGCACAGCTACGACTTAGCCAGCTGCCGCAAAACGCTCTGCGGTGCGCAAAGTAAAACCGTCGTTTTCGATGCCTGTGTGACCAACGGGAATGTGTTGGGCTAAAACCAGACCTGGGTGAGGGCCCTGACCCGGAGGCTCAAACACAAACACCTCCATCTCACTGCCGTCGACAGAAACTGTTTCGATCTGATGCATAGTTAAGCTGTTTCCGAGTGAAGCGACAGTCTAATGCCAATCGGCGCTGTTCACGATAACATCGGTATCAAAGTTATTTTGCAGGGAGAGCAGGCTTGAGCGAATCTGTCATCATTACCGGTGCCGGCAGCGGCATTGGCCGCGCCGCCGCACTGGTGTTTGCCGCAAACGGATACTCGGTGATCGCCTCCGGACGGCGTTTAGCTAAACTCGAGGAAACCCGCGAACTGGCGGGTGCCGGCGCTGGCGCCATCATTCCGGTAGCCGGTGACGTGGGGTTGGCAGACACCGCCGCTGAGCTGATCGCTGTCGCCAAAACAAACGGGCGCCTTGCCAGCCTGGTGAACAACGCCGGCATCGGCTGGAACTATGGCGTGGAACACCCAGGCTCTATGGCAGCTCTCAAAGACACCTCCTATGAGCAGTGGCGCGAAGTACTGCGCATCAACCTCGACTCGGTGTTTCACCTTTGCCACGCGGCACTGCCCGTGATGTTGTCGCAGGGTGAGGGCAGCATCGTCAACATTGCCAGTGGCGGTGGTCTTCGCGGCATGGATGACGCGCACACCTACGCGACAGCCAAAGCAGGTGTCATCAATCTGACCCGCTCCCTGGCCCGTGCTTATGGCCCTGAGGGCATACGCGCGAATGTAGTGGCACCAGGCTTTGTGGATACAGACATGGTGGAATCGGTGCTGGAGTCCGACATGAATCCCTTTGCTGACGAGACGTTACGCTATCAGGTATCGCCCCTTGGTCGGCCTGGCACCCCGGAAGAAATTGCCGACACCATCTATTTCATGGCCATCACCGCCACCTACTGCAACGGTTCGGTGCTCACTGTCGATGGCGGCAGTCTGGCCTGAAGATCGTGTGCAAAAGCACAATTCAGCTACAGATTCAGATCAGAAAATACTGGGTGGTGGAGGAAACTCCTGCCTGACATTGAGACACATGATCAGACTATCATGTGCTGTACCGTCGGCATCTCTGAATTGATCGGGAATCTGTGCAACCGGCACGAAGCCAATCACTGCCGCCGCCTGCCGCGCTGGCTCCTCTGCATCTGCCGCAATCTCGAACAACACGCTTTCCAGATCGCGTTCTTTAGCGACTTCAACCAGCTTGTGCAGCAACCCACGCCCAATGGCTTTATCCCGATACTGGGGATCAATTGTAATTCGTACTTCACCCACATGCCGACGCGCAGCTGCATGCCGACGATGCAACGTACCCTCGCCGACAATGCGTTCATCATGCAGAGCCAGTAACGGTATCACGCGATTGTAGTTGAGATTTTCCGCCCAGTTCGCTACCACCTCAGGGTCGGCAATGTCATCGCGCAGATAGTAGCGATCCTGCTCTGAAATCCGCTGAAAAAACTGCTGCAGCGCAGCACCATCACTCGGCAACATAGGGCGAATATCGATGCGATCGCCGTCAACCGCCAGATGTAGGGCAGGGAACCCAGCCAGCGGATAAACCGTCGTATCATTGTTCATGTCTTTATCCATCACTTAGATCTACAATAAAAGCCGCGCTACCAACAGCACAAGCAACCCCGCACCGAAAGCCAGCAGGTGAATCACATTACCCCCTCCTTCACCATGTTTATTCACTTCAGGCACCAGATCTGAAGCACCGATATAGATGAAATTGCCTGCCGCAAATGGGATCAGCCAGCTGATGTCCACCTGGGTGGACAAGGCATAAGTCACCAGTCCGCCAAGTAAAAATGTCGATCCGGACAGCACGTTGAACAGCAAAGCACTGCTTTTTGACCAACCACCATGGATCAGGACACCAAAGTCTCCCAATTCCTGAGGAATCTCATGGGCTGCGGCAGCCAGCCAGGTTGTAATGCCTAAACGCACGTCGATCAGGAAGGTTCCGGCAATCGCCAGGCCACCGAGAAAATTGTGCAACCCATCGCCAATCAGAATCAGATACGTCAACGGTTGCCTGCGGTCACTCTGCGTCCGGTGGCAGTGGCGCCAATGCAGAAACTGCTCGAGGATGAAAAACGCTGAAAATCCGGCGACAACCAAGATGCCAATCGCCAGTCCATCGCTGCCTGCTTCAAGCGCCGCAGGTAACATGTGAAAGAACGCACCGCCGATCAGAGAACCGGCCGCAAAAGCAACCAGTGGCAACAGCAGCCGGTCCAGTGTCGCGGGTTTTAACACCAGGGTCACACTACCCACCATGGCGATACCACTCATCAGTACTCCACCCAGCACAATCCACTCCAGTTCGCTCACGCGCTTATCGACTTAAGACGGGAAAGCTGCAAACCCGGCGGGATCAACGATCAGTCCCGGTTATCATCGGAGGCGGAATAGTCACCTGCCACGGCTCCACCATTCATAGCAGCGCGATGCAGCAGTTCGGCTTTCGCGACAGCAACGTTTTCGGGGCGACCCTGCCAGGCCTTCAACACCGGCGCCTGGAGCGCGCGTCCATAGGAAAAACTCAGCAGCCAGGGCGCCGTGAATGACCTTGCAGCTTGATTGATGGCTTGCAGATTTGCGGTGGCTTCTAAATCAGTTTGTCCACCAGACAGAAAGTTGATGCTGGGCACAGCCGCGGGCACTGTCTGCATCAACACCTGAAGCGTGGCTTCGGCCACTCTGTCTGGCGAGGCCTTGCCCACCCCTTCGCCAGGCAGAATCATATTGGGTTTTAAAACGATATATCGAAGATCAACGTTATGTCGGTACAGTGCCTGAAACACCGCATGTTGCACCTCTAACGTCACGGCGGCACAGTGCTCTATCTCATGCGCGCCGTCCATCAACACTTCCGGTTCGACGATGGGTACCAAATCCTGCTGGTGGCACAGAGCCGCATAGCGCGCCAGGATCTCAGCCCCCATGTTGACCGTAACCTTATAATCCGCATCGCTGGCGCCAACACGATAGACGTTGCGCCATTTGGCAAATCGGGCGCCCTGCTCCCGATAACCGCTCAACCGTTCGGCCAGTCCATCAAGACCCTGGGTGAGCTTGTGTACACTTGAAGGCGAGACGGGAATAGTGCCTTTATCAACTTTCACCCCAGGCACGATGCCTCTGGCCTGCAGAGCATGGGGAATCGTTTGGCCATCAGAGACCTTATGATCGAGGGTTTCTTCAAACAGGATGACGCCGCTGACATGCCGCTCCAGATCGTCTGTCTCTGCCAACAGGGCACGATAGTCGCGCCGCGTCTGTTCCGAGGACTCAAGACCGATGCCGGCAAATCGCCTGGCGATGGTGGGCAGACTCTCATCCGCCGCCAGGATCCCCTTGCCGGACTGAACCATTTCTTCCACGCAAGCTTGTAGAGAGGCTGAAGGCGACATGAACTATCCCGGCGATTGAAACATTCGCTAGCCTAGAAATTGAATAGCAGCTGGGCAATTGGGGGAAACCGAAGTTCCGACAACTCAGTCTTCGGCATATACCAATAGCCTGGTGTCTTTAAGTCACCCGAATTCGGATTACCTGATACGCCATCTGAGCTGAAGCCTTGTTAACGATAATACCTGCGATAATAGCTGTCCTTGTAACCATGACGTTTATGTTGGCGATGGTGGCGCTTGTGTTTGGCGTAATGCCTTTTATGTTTGGCATGATGCCGACCCTTGTAGTAGCGATCATGGTGATGTCGTTGGTAGTGACGATCGTGGTGGCGTTGCTTGTAATGACGATCGTGAGCGTAGTGATCCCTGTGCCGTCGATGATAACGGCTGTCATCATCCAGAGCATCAATGATCAGATAAGCCACTGCAGCACCAGCCAGCACTTCAACGACGTCGTGTCGGTCATGGTCTGCGCTGGCCGTCAGCGGTGCCATTAACAGCAGCGTGATGCCTGCAGCAGCAAGATACTTCGGTAGAGTTGGCGTGTTAGATCGCTTTGTATCAGTATTCATTGGTTCATTCCTCGATCAACTTCTTTATCAAAGTTGCGGGCAGGATATTGGTTGCGACCTGACTGCAGGATGAATGGAAACTGTCTGTTTCCTGAACGTGCGAACATTGAGACCGAACCTCTTTCGCGATCGTCAGCGCAGACTAGTGCAGTGAACCGACCCAGCCCTCCCCTGCCACGACGTTGAAATCAGCTGATGAAACCCTGCTGCCTGAGACAAAGATGCCAGCTGATGGTGCACGAAGCTGTTGACCAGAAACGGGAGACGGAGTATCACTCAGCTAAAGCTTTAGAGTGTGCGATTAGTTGACGCTGCCACCCTGAGCGCTTTGTTTCATTGGTTATTTACAGGGGAGAAAGAAATGGCTGACAAACAAACAGACCCGGCTGACGCTTTCACAAAGCTCGTCAGCGATTGGGAACGAAACTTTGACAGCATCGCTAATAAAATCATGGGTACAGACGAGTTCAGTCAATCCATGAATCAGTTTCAGAACCTGCAACTTGCCATGCAGAAAAGGTTTAACGAAGCCATGGCGCAACACCTGCTCAACCTCAACATGCCCAGCCGGGACGACATCCTCAGGCTAGGTGAAAGCATACGCGCCGTCGAAAAGCGCCTGGCCTCCATAGAGACCACATTAGCTAAGAAAAAGAAAAAAACAGATAAGGGTGGCGGTAAAAAACCACCGCGCACCAAACTACCGCCCAGCATGCGAAGCGAGGCTGATCATGAGTGAAACCCGAACAAACATAATGGATCGCGCCAGCAAACTGGTTGAGCGTACGATTGCCCGAAATCTGAAAGGGCTGGACTTTCTCACGATGCCACCAGCCAAAGTCGGGTTGACACCAAAAGAAGTGTTGTATGAGCGCGGCACGCTGCGGCTCTACCACTACCTGCCTCAGGCAGACGAGCTTTATCGTGTACCGATCCTGCTGGTCATGGCGACCACCAACAAAGCCTATGTATTCGACCTGGCGCCAGGGCAGAGTATGGTCGAATATCTTCTCAAAGAAGGCTTCGATGTTTACGTCATCGACTGGGAACCACCACTGCCTGAAGAGCGCGGCCTGTCCCTTGCAGACTACACCCAGGATTTTATCCCCACCTGTGTGCAGATGGTGATAGATGATTCAGGTGAGCCTGACCTGTCCATCGTCGGATACTGCATGGGCGGTGTGCTGTCACTCATCTACGCAGCAAGTCACACCGACGGCCCCCTCAAAAATCTCGTCTGTCTGACAACACCTGTGAACTGGGCTGAAATGGGGCTCACGCGAATCTGGAGCGATGAAAAACATTTTGACGTAGACCGACTGGTAGACACCCTGGGTGTGGTTCCCCAGGATTTTGTGCAGGCATCTTTTGAGATGCTCAGGCCGGCACAGAAATCTGCATCACAGATCCGTGTGTGGGAAAAAATGTGGGACGATGAATTTGTAAAGTCTTATCGAGCCTTTGACCGTTGGGGCAACGAAACGCTGCCCCTAGCGGGAGAATATTTTCGCGACACCACCAAAGAACTGATGTGGGCCAACAAACTCTATAAGGGTGACCTTATGGTCAACGGTAAGACCGCAAAACTCTCCGACATCAAGGTACCCATTATGGCGGCAATGGCTGAACACGATCACATAGTCGCTTACGATGCCAGCAAGCCTCTATTGGACCTGGTGGGCTCCGAAGATAAAGAAGAAATCGTGCTTAAAGGCGGGCATGTCAGTCTCATCGCCGGCCCTAATGCAGTAAGGCGGATGTGGCCAAAACTGGCCGAATGGTTAGGAGAGAGATCGGTATGAGTGAATCCACACGCTATCCTCGCACCCAGGAAATTAAAGGCGGAGATGTCTCGCTGGACCTGATGACACCAGAGATGGAAGCCGAAGTACTGACGTTTGCCAACACCCTGGACCCTCACGACCTGCTTTTTCTGCGTCGCGACATTACACAACCAAAGGTACTCTCAGCCTGGTCAAAACAATTGGAAACCGGCGAGATCACCAGTCTGATCGCCCGCTCTGATGGCAAAATGTTAGGCTGCACGGCCGTGGTACGAGACGAACGCAGCTGGTCGCCACACGTGGGTGAACTGCGTGTGCTGGTCAGCCCGGCGGGTAAAGAGCGCGGACTGGGAAGACTGTTGATTCAGGAAAGTTTTCTCATCGCATTGAGCCTGAAGCTGCAGAAACTTACTGCGCATATGACGGTTGATCAGACGAGCGCCATTAACGTATTCGAAGAGATGGGTTTCAAGCCTGAAGCGCTGCTGAAAGACCAGGTCATGGACCAGGCTGGAGAAAAGCATGACATCGTGATTCTGAGTCACGATGTTGAAGGCTTTCAATCCCAGATGCAGGCTTATGGACTGACAGATCTGTATTAACGGTACACCGTACCTTAGCGTGTCTTCATCCTTCCAGGTAAATAGCGACGACCTCGAATACTGAGACCGCTTTCTCAATCTAAATCGATTCATGCGACAATTTTGTCCTGATTTATGTTGTGTTCAGATAGCTCTGCCTAGGATGCAATCTGTTTCATTGACGTTGCTGCCCATGCCTCAATCAATCCACGCCCTATGTATTTTTTGTCTTGCGACATTTGCCGTTAACACTGCACAGGCGCGGCCTGATCAGCAAGCCCAGCACTGTCTGGCGCTGGCGATGTATTGGGAGGCACGTGGCGAAGGGGAAAAAGGTATGTACGCGGTGGGCTCGGTGGTTATGAATCGTGTTCAGGACAAGCGCTTTCCAGACAGTGCCTGCGCAGTCGTCAAGCAAGGCGGTGAAACTGCACCCTGCCAGTTCTCATGGTGGTGTGATGGTAAAAGCGATCGTCCAACCAATAAACGCAGCTGGGCGCGAGCAATGCACGTGGCAAATCAGGTTCTGCACGGCCGCCGCTCAGACCCCACGCGTGGGGCTCTGTTTTTTCACAGCACCAGCGTCAATCCCGGCTGGCGGCTGAAGCGCTCTGCCCGGGTAGGCGACCATATTTTCTATCGCTGAGTCTATTTCTTAAGCTGAGTCGGAGGCATCACTCCTCGCAATTGAGGCACTCGTTGGGGCAAACTGGTCGCACTTTACACCGACCTGGAGAAAAGCACATGCAAGGCCCTACCCGAACAATGACCCTGGACGAAATCCGCGCCTATACCGGCAAAGAAATCGGTGTGTCTGAATGGTTTACCCTGGACCAGGACAAAATCAATGGCTTTGCGGATCTCACCGAAGACCACATGTTTCTGCATGTGAATCCGGAAGCCGCAAAAGCGACACCCTTTGGTGGGACTATTGCCCACGGCCTGCTGACCTTATCCATGATGCCGGTGATGGCGTATCAGGCTGTACCCGGTGTGGAAGGCACCAAGATGGGCGTGAACTACGGCTACGATAAAGTGCGCTTCATGGCACCGGTGAAAAGCGGCAAACGCATCCGCGACCACTTCACGGTTAAGAGCGTGGACGACAAAGGCGACGGACGTTTTGCGCTGAATCAGGATGTCACCATCGAAATTGAAGGCGAAGACAAGCCTGCGCTGGCGGCAGAATGGATCACCATGGTCTGGATGTAATCCGGACTTGCTCATCAGCGCGTCCATCATGAATACCTGGAGCAAACCGGAGTGTAGACTTCAACGCGCCAGCAAGCGCTGACGAAAACGCCGCATCCCGGACAGCCACCGATCGTAGTCGTTGGCTTTACGCTGAAAGTAAGTCTCTACCTCCGGGTGTGGCAGCACAAGAAAACGCTCTGCCTGCACCGCCTCAATGCAGGCCTGCGCAACAAAGTCGGGTTCTAAAATACCGTCTGCAGCGGCCTGACGGGAGTTGGATGAACCCCCTTTCAGCGCATTTGGCCCAAGGATGTTGGTGCGTACAGCCTGGGGACACAGCACTGACACGCCAATACCCTGATCTGCATAGTTGATGAGCAGCCATTCGGCAAACGCCACGGCGGCATGTTTCGACACCGCGTAGGGGCCTGAATCTATTTGTGTCAACAAACCCGCAGCGGAAGCGGTATTCAAAAAGTAGCCTTCGCCTCGGGCCACCATCCCCGGCATCACCGCCCGGGCCGCCGCCAGATGAGACCAGGTGTGTACATTCATCATGCGCTGCCACTCTGTTGTAGACAGGTCCAGCCCGCCTCGACGTCCATAGCCGGCGTTGGAAACAAACAGGTCAATGCCGCCCTGCTGCTGCTCAACCTCCTGCACGAGCTGTTCGATGGCAGCTTCGTCAGCGACGTCCAGAGGTTGTGCGGTTGCCACATCACCAATCATTTCAGCGGTGGCTGCGGCGTTCTCGCCATTAAGATCCGTGCACACCACCCCGCGGGCGCCGTGCTGCGCGAGACTGATGGCCAGCGCGCGGCCAATGCCGGAACCAGCGCCCGTGACTACCGCTAACTTACCCGTAATGTCCATGAAAACTCTCCCCAGTTGATTGCAATGTTGCCGACCATTATGACGGTTCCGGCGACCAGAAGGCTTGAAGAATAATTGCAGGATAATTTTGCGCTTTAGGAGGCTGCGAGGAGGATCGGGCTTGGGGAGGCAAGATAGTGTCAAGTAGAGTCCGGTCCGCCCCTGTTGGATGCAGCCAAAACACCTCAGAAACAAGAGAAACTCGGTTGACATTGAGTTATCATAAATGATAACTAGATATAATGACATGGAAGATCAGTTTCTATAACGATAAGGTTGAGGAAGAAACACTGGCACTGCCTGTCGGCATCCTGGCCCGCTTTCTGCGTATAGCCGAGCTGATTGAAGAATTCGGCCCAGATTTGGGTAGACCCCATACAGCACCCCTGGGGCAAGGCCTGTTTGAAATCAGAGCCAAGGGCCGCGAAGGCATTGCCAGATCGGTCTATTGCACAATCAAGGATGAGGAGATTGTGGTTTTGATCAGCGTGATTAAGAAACAATACAAGATCCCCAAGCGCCAAATGGACACGGCGCGCAAGCGTATGAAGGAGGTCCAGAACGATGGCTAAGCGTCCCACACTCGCAAAGTTTAAAAAGAAGGCTTTGGCAAAGCCCAAGGTCAAGAAAGAATATGACGCGCTCGCATCAGCGTTTGATATGAAGCGCCAGATGATTGCGCTGCGCAAAGATGCGGGGCTTACCCAAGAAGAAATGGCAGAACTGCTCGGCACAGCAAAGAGCAATATCTCGCGGTTAGAGAGCATCAATTCCGGAATTTCACCACGCCTCGCAACGGTGGAAGACTATGCGCGCGTGCTTGGTTACTCTATTAAGGTTGAATTTGAACCGAGAGCGAATTAGGTCATATTTGCTGAGATAGAGAGTTGCACCACCGGCGCAGCTCGACCCCACGTATCGGTTGATCGAGCGGTCCAGCATCTAACTCAATTTGGAAGCGAAGCCCGTAGAGGGCATCGCAGTGATAGATGATTACTTTCAATTTGTCGTTGTTTGATCGGCCTGCTTGTTAAGCCGAATGCCGTCCGTTCCAATAGTAATAAGGCGCTGCCTAAAGAGTCCGCCTATAGTTTTCTTGAAGGTTTTTTTGCTCATCCCAAACAGCTTCTGCATTATCGCAGGATCCGATTTGTCGTGAACAGCCGCAAAGCCATCGTGCGCCTTAAGGTAATTGAGAACAGTCATGGCGTGTTGGTCGCGTGTTTCCTGTTCCTGCTTCAGAGCGAGGTCAATCTTGCCGTCAGCTCGCACAAATTTAACAAAACCACGTCTCGACTGGCCAAAACTAAGCCTTTCATTGACCTCATCTTTGTACAAAAGGCCCCAATGGCTGTGATTGATAATCGCCTTAAACCCCAGATCAGTACTGTTTGCAATGATGAGGTCAACCTGCTGACCGGCTGCGAAGTCGTGAGTCGCTTCATCGTCGAGGAATTTATCGATTTTGGATGAAGCGGTAATTCTGCCATCAGCACTATTCAAGTAGACGTAGACGAGATAGGAATGGCCCACCTCCATCCGTCTGTGCTGCTCACCAAAAGGCGTCAGTAAATCTTTGTCCAGACCCCAGTCCATGAACGTGCCGAAGTCGGTGTTTGCAACAGCTTCCAGGTAGGCGAACTGCCCGACCTGTACCTTGGGAATTTGCGTCGTGACGATGAGGCGGGTTTCAGAATCCTGGTAAACGAAGACGGGTAGGGAACTGTCTACCGCCAGGTCAGGCGGGCAGAACTTTGTTGGCAGCAGGATTTCGCCCAGATTCTCTCCGTCTACATAGGCGCCCTGCTCTGTCATTTTTAACACGCGCAAGGTGTAGGTTTGCCCTATGGTCAACATGGCTGGTTCCTTACAAAAATACAGCCAAGGTAACCGCTGCGCTGGCTGCCTGTCGAGATTAAAAGAGGCTGTTTCAACCCGTCAACTGGCCAACCGTGTGCAACCCATCGCTCAGCTTAAACGTCATGTCAGGTTGCACAGCACCAACCATTGCGTCGCTGTCATAGAGTTGCATCGCAAGCTCCGCAACTTCTTCTGCGGTATGGAACTGAATACCTGCCATATCGCCTTCTGCGAAAACCATCTTCGAGCCCTCAAGAGAGTTCGCTGTAAACTCGGTGGCGATTGGTCCCGGCGCGAGCAGCTGTGCACGCATGGGGTGATTCTGGCTGGCAAGTTCTCGACTAAGACCTTCTGTTAACGCCGTAACAAAAAACTTAGTCGCTGAGTAGGGAATTGCGCTTTCAAATAATGCATAACCGGCCCCAGACGCCACGTTCATGAGCCGCGCCGCCTGTTGATGTCGCAACTGACTGAAGGCCGTTGAGAGTACAGCCACAGCGCTCACGTTGACGGCAATCATCGAGCGCATGGTGTCAGGCGTTGTATCCCACGTGTAATCCCAGTGACCAAGGGCTGCATTGTTGATCAACACTTCGATTCCAAGCGCCGGTAAGTCATCAGCGAGGTTCTGTACCTGCTCTGCATCCGCGAGATCGACGGCTCGATATTCGGCACCTGCTGCACCGCAGGCGAGAAGCTCCGCCTGCAGGTTTTCAAGCAGCGACTGGCGTCGCGCAACAACAACCAAGTGATCTCCGCGTTGAGCAAACCGTTTTGCAATCTCAGCACCCAGCCCACTGCTCGCACCTGTCACCATTACTTTCGCCATAATTCTTCCTCAGATATAAAAATGTTTGACTTTGAAGCTGCCCGATCAAACGGCCAATTTCACTGAATCTGGATGCCAGCCTCAAAAACTTTGCTGGCCGCTTCGAAGTAACGAGCATCAAGAGCTTTGCCAGTCTTCGTGTTGTTGAGCTTGGCCACCCGATCCCTACTGATGAACCAGTGCTCGGTTAAGGCGCTGAACACAGCCAGGACCATGTCAGCGTCAATGTCCCCTCTGAGGACTTTCCTTTTCTGCAGATCGTGTATGAATGCAATGCCCTTCGCCTGCAATTCCTGTTCGGTAGCGCTGGGTTTGTAATCGCTTTCAAAACTCTCGAGCGCGAACAGGCGTGCAACTTCCGGGTGTTTCTGCAGAAAAGAAAAGTACGCTGCAATCGAAGAGGATATGTCTTCTGCCGGATTGCCTGGATTCGCAGAGAAAAGTGCACGTTGCTGTTCAGCGTATGACGCGACAGAAGCGTCTTTGACTGCCCTCCAAAGCCCCTGCTTATCCCCAAAATAGTGATGAAGCAGACTCTTCGTGACCCCTGCTTGTTTGGCAATCAGGCTCAAAGAAACAGCGGCATAGCCATGCTCTAAGAACAGTGTTGTTGCGCTGCTGAGTATCGCGCCGGCGGTTTTATCGCGATCTCTTTTTTGAAGAGTTTGGGCTTTGTTTTTCACCAGGCTCGAACTTAATTAACTGGACGTCCGGTCTATTAAAGCAATGGTCTCAATGAACTGCAAGCGGTGATACTTACTGGTGACTCAGATTTGTTACTGTTCGGGTAGTTGAGAGTCGTCGAAACAGGAGCGTTTTGTGTCAGAACAGCCTTTTGCTGGAATTCGGGTCGTTGAGTTTGGTCAGTTTGTTGCGGTGCCGGTTGCGGCTCAGCTACTTGCTGATGGCGGCGCTGAGGTGATTAAAGTGGAAACACCCACCGGTGACCCGATTCGTGGCATTTTGCCTCTCGCGCCCGGGGAATCGCGCTACTTCATCACCCGCAACAACGGCAAACACGCTTTACCCCTGGCATTGAGCGACCCTGCAGCACGCCCGGTGATAGACGCCTTAACCGCAAGTGCGGACGTCGTGTTGATGAATCTCAGGCCAGGGCTTGCTGAAAAACTGGGATTAGATTCAGATCAGCTCTTAAAAAAACACCCCAAACTGATCGTCGGTTCGGTCACCGGGTTTGGCCTGCATGGACCGGAGGCAAACGATGCGGGTATGGATCTGGTGGTACAAGCCCGAACCGGCCTGATGGCAGCCAATGGCCGAATTACTGACGGACGCCCAGCAGCCGGAGATCCGGTCAGCGCGGATTATATGTGTGCCATGACTTTGGCCTTTGGTGTCAGTGCGGCACTGCTGCGTCGGGAACGCACGGGTAAAGGCGGCATTATTGATACCAGCCTCATGCAGGCGGGTTTAGCTTTGACGGCCAGTCAGCTGG